GTCCTGCCCGGGGGGGACAGGAGATGGAATATCTCATTGCAGAGCCAGATGCCAATTGGGGGTTTGCTAATTACTGCGCTGCCCCCTCCCAGTCCTTTGCACTGGCAAACTGGCAAAACACAATGACCTTGGACTTCCAGCAGCAACTGAAAACATCACTGTGTGATCAACATTCTTCTCCTAACAAATCCCCACTGAACCCAAACCCCAGCTATTCCAAGAGAGAAAATTAACTCTATCCCAGTGACATCAGGACAGGGACACCGGTGAGGCGGGGACTTACCAGCAGAGGAGCTGGGGGTTTGGCAGGACGTGCTCCAGCCTGTTGTAGTTCAGCACACGGAAGGTGAGGACTGCTGGAGAGGGGTTGTTGGCAAAATGTCGGGTGATGCCCGCTGGAAACGACAGCACCATCTCCCCCGTGATCTTCACGATACACCTGCAGCAATGGGCACAGAGACCAGAGGGGGAAGAAATGAAGGGTTCAAAATGCAGCAGGAGGGGAGAGGTCACACCAAGGACAGTGGGGTGACAGCCCCCTGCTTCCCACCCACCATGTGAGGTGTACGAGCCTCTTGTGCTGCTAAACCAGAGTGAGCTGAAAGAGCAGCAAAGGCTGGCAGCCTGCTAGGGGTGGGGACCAGTGCTCATGGGGACATCCTGGGGGCATCCTGACCCCAGACCCCCGCTTGGTGCAGTGAGCTGACATCCCAGCACGTGTGTGCCAAGCCCAGAGCATCTCCTTTTCTCCCTCCCCATCCCTCGAGGTGCTCACCAAAGCCTTGACAGCACCCCAAGCCTGTCCTGACCCCAGGACCCCCCATATCAATACCCAACCCCATCAGTCAGCACCTACTTGTTGGGGTCGGCCCCTTTGAAGTACGCGTTGACGGTTTCCGTGAAGGCGGCGGCGACAGGCAGGGTGTCCTGTGCCCCCATGGTGAGGGGGCTGGGTCCCCGCGACGAGCCTGTAACAGAGCAAACCCCTCCATTTCTTACGTGCAGAGAGAATTGGAACCACTGCCCCTCCAGGAATGGGGCGAAGGGTGGTCACAGGAGCCCCAGCCTGGCTTTGTGGGTGAATCCCAGACTGGTTTGGGTTGGAAGGGACCTTAAAGCTCCTCCAGTCCCAACCCCCCTGCCAGCAGCAGGGACACCTTCCACTAGACCAGGTTGCTCAAAGCCTCATCCAACCTGGCCGAGAACACTTCCAGGTAGGAGCAGCAACAGCTTCTCTGGCCAACCTGGGACACTGTCTCACCACCCTCACACCAAAGAATTTCTTCCTCACATCTCATCTCCATCTCCCCTCTGCCACTTTCAAGCCATCACCCCTTGTTCTGTCACTCCCTGCCCTTGGCCAAAGTCCCTCCCCAGCCTTCCTGTATATTAAGAAATATTAAGAAAAATCCCCCAGGCTTTGGATGAGGCTTTAATTAGAATTATCATCCTCCACCCCCCAAAGCAAGCAAAGAAAAGAACAGAGGAGCCCTGGCCAGGAGCAGCAGCACCCCCGGCACGACTCGGGGTGGGTGGCTGCCACATGGCAGGCTCTGTGGGACAGTTTTTGTAGTAGGTTTCTGGGCAAGAGGGGCTGGGGAGGTTCCCTGTCCCTTGGCCGGAGAGCTCAGGCCAGCGGCAGGGAAAGCAGGATGCCAGCAATCTCCCCCTGATGTTGCCTGAACTCCTCTCTGCAGGGACCCCAAGCTATGGGGACCCCAAGCTATGGGGACCCCTGCAGCCCCTGGCACGCTCCCCTCTCCTGCCCGGTGTGCCTGGCAAACCCCTGCATGGCTGCTCACCCCAGAGAGCCTGCGGCAAAGCTGCAAACCATCAGAAATCTGGAACTACGGAGCAGAAGGTGGGACTCTGGGTGCCAAAGCTGCAGCAATCAATCCATGGATTATTTAGATGATTAAAAAAAAGAGGAGAAGTTTGCTTTGGTTGCGCTGTGCGTCCATGGACACAGAGTCACAGGATGGTTGAGGTTGGAAGGCACCTCTGAAGATCACATCGAGTCCAACCC